GTCGTCACCGAGGCTGCCGCCCAGGGCGAGAAGACCCTGTCCAAGCCCGTCGCTGTCGTCACAAAGGTCGATCTGCTGACGTGGCTCGTCAGCAAGAAGCTGTGAGCTGGCGAGAGGGGTTTGAGAGGCAGGCTGGCGTTTGGATTTCTCTTTTTTCATCTTTCTCATTTTTTTTTCTTTTTTTTTTGGTTGGTTTGGAGCCGTATCGAGCAGTACACACAAGCATGGGTGGAGTCGGTCGCATCAACAGGCCTAGACAAATGAAATGGAGGAACTGCATGGATGGGTAGACTCAACATCTACGACGTGTCAATCTTAATCACATGGAACAAATTGATCAAGAGTGCACTCAACAGAAAGTGAATCACACGAACACATTTGATCAGTAGTGCACTCAACAGTAGAGTTCATCACATGAACACATTTGATTAATAGTGCACCCAACAGTGAATTCCATCACACGGAACACAGATCGTGGACATTATAAATTACGTAGCGACATGTCGACTGAAAAAGGGTATCATGGTTGTCCTCTCTCTCTCTCGCTCACACGCGGTACGCAATCCACTGCCACCACTTGTCGACCGACGGGCCGTCCTGGCCCGTGACGTTTCCGCCGAGGACGTCGACGGAAATGTCAAACTCGTCGAGCTGGTCAAAGGCAAACTTGGACGAGCCGTACTCGCCGAGCCAGCTGTCGTTGGCCTCGGAGCCGAGGTCGTCCTCCTTGACGCCCGAGTCGAGCAGGGCCTTGCTGCGCGAGGCGCGGATGCGGGCGAGCTCGGCCTCGAGGGTGGAGCGGACGACGGTGGCGGGCAGGGCCGTGAAGAGGTCGGCCTTGTTGGCGGCGACGAGGACGGGGCGCAGCTGGTTGCCCCTGCGCTTCTCGTCGGGGCCGCGGAACTTGTTCTTGGCGATGAAGCGGCGCTGCAGCGTCAGCAGCACGTCGTAGAGGTACTCGGCGGCGTCGGCGAGGACGGGCTGGTCGCCGAGGGCGGCGGCGTCGACGACGAAGACGACGGCCTTGTACTGGTGCTCGTTGATGTTGGGGCGGATCTTGTCGAGGGCGTGGCGCCGCAGCTTGGGGTGGCCCGGCGTGTCGAGCAGGGAGAAGCTCGCCGTCGTGGCCTTGCCGAGGGGCGTCTTGTCGTCGTGCGCGCGGAACGCGTCCTTGGCGTCCTTGACGGCCTTGAGCTCGACGAGCTTGGGCTCGTACGACGTGTGCGTCTCGGACGGCGCCGTGCCGCGCTCGAGGAGAGACGCGAGGGCCGTCTTGCCGGCGCCCATGGGGCCCGCGAGCATGACGACAGGCAGGTTCGTGTGGTCGGGATTGCCCATGAGGACCGTGTGCAGGACGAGGGGCACGAGGAGGACGACGATGATGCCGAAGAAGATGACCTCCATCGACGGCGTCAGCATGTACTCGAACAGGCTGGAGAAGGACATGGTGGGCGGTTGCGCACTGGCGGGGGGGGGTATCGAGAGGGTGAGGGGAATTGGAAAGGAAAAAGAAGAAAAAAAAAGAATAAGAAGATCGTGAGAAAAGATCTCTTTGGGGGAGAGGGGATAAGTAGCCCTTGAGAAGGAAGCAAAAGGGTTGAATTGAAAGGGGGGGACGAGGGGCTTGGTTCGAACGGCTCGGGTTTGTCTGGATCCCAAATCGCCAGATCTCGTCTCGCCTCTTCTTGGCTCTTGCCCTCTCGACCTGCCCATTTAGGCCAGGCCTATCCAGCGTCCTTCGGTGGGGCTCTTGGGGCTGCAGTGATGCAGTGATGGGGTTGGCCAGAGCCCTGTCGTCGACCCTTTGCCTGACAGCTGTACCCCGTTACTGCTTCATTGGCCAGCCTCGTCAGAGGGTCCGAAGGCTCTGAGGTCTGTGATCCTCAGCCTCGCCAAGGCGCATTGCTGACGACAGCAATTTCCGGGGCCTCCAATCCCTAAGCTCGTCTGAGTAGGTACCTACCTGAGGTAGAGACCTACCTGGTAGGTAGAGAAGCTACCCTTCTTGGACCACGCTTCCTTCACTGCAGCCATCTCGCTTCGCATTTCATCCCCAATTGTGCACGCCTTGTATCGCATCCTGTCTTTCTCGAGGTCCGCATCCTTTGGATTCTTCTCCGCCTTGGTCCGGTTCATGAAGCGTCAATTCTCATAACCCAACCCCGATTCCATCGATACCCGCCCGGCAGTCAACTCCCGTCTGTACGCGCACGCACGACCCGCCCTTGCCGACCACGAACGAAGACAAACCCACCGACGCCCCCCCCCCCCGTCGTCAGACCCTGACCGGTTCTGTGTTTCGCCCGTTGGCTTTCTCGACAGCCGCCTCTCGTATTCGATGGACAAACCTCGAGCCACCTCCCCGTTTGTGGGCCAGTCTGCTTCCTCACCTGCTGCCCCTATACAACCCGCGAATAAAGGAGCCGCCGTCGCGCCGGCTATCAACGACATGGAGATGGGTGTCGTAGCAGACGCGCGTGCGACGCCGCCAGAAAACGACATTATGCAGCTGGCGAGGGTCGGCAACGTTGCCGGCATGGAGAAGCTCTTCGAGTCGGGCGAGTACGATGCCACATATCACGATGATGAAGGCATCACGCCGCTGCATGTACGCTATCTCCCCTTTCCATGTCTGCCCTTCCCAGGTCTGCATCGCTGCTTCGATGCGGCCCATGGTCGCCTTCTCGATGAACTTCATACTGACTGCACCAGTGGGCGGCCATCAACAACCAGTACGCCATGGCCAAGTTCCTCATCGACCACGGCGCAGAGATCAACAGAAAAGGAGGTGAATCGGTCGCGACGCCGCTCCAATGGGCCGCGCAGGGCTGCCACTACTACACCGTCAATCTCCTCCTCCAGCACGGCGCCGACCCCCTGATCACCGATGCCCAAGGCTACAACACGCTCCACATTTCGACCTTCAATGGCAACGTCCTCCTCATCGTCCTCCTCCTCCACCAAGGCATCCCCGTCGATGTCGCCGATAGCTACGGTCACACCGGCCTCATGTGGTCCGCCTACAAGGGCTTCCCCCAGTGCGTCGACCTGTTCCTCCGCTGGGGCGCCAGCGTACACGCCACCGACGAGCAGGGCTTCACGGCGCTGCACTGGGCCCTCGTCAAGGGCTCGCCCGGCTGCGTTCAGAAGCTCATCGAGTACGGCTCCGACCGTTTCGCCAAGACGGAGACGGGGAAGACCCCCGATGTCACAGCCCAGGAGCTCAACACAGTGGGCGCCTGGCACCGCGCGCTGCGGGAGTGCGGGTACGCTGAGGATGCGCAGGCGATCGAGCCTCATTTCCCGGGAGCCAAGTACCTGAGGCAGGACAAGAGGGGCTTCGTGACCAAATTTCTCTTCTTCTGGCCGATATTGACCTTGTGGTCGGTTCTCGGCATCCTGGGAGGCATGCCCATATTGGCCGGTGTCCTCATCAGCGTGGCCGTCGCATATACGTTGCAGTGGTGTGCGCAGAGGGTGCTTGACCATGCGCCACCGGGCATGAGACACTTTCACAAGACGGTATGTGTACTTCACTTGTTTCTTGGAGGTCTGGCGAAACTGACCGAGTAGCCTTATCTTGCCGGCATCTTTGCCGCCACTCTTTTCCTCACAGCCTGGAACTGGATTTTCACCGTTCTGCCGTACACGACTTTGTCAAATGGTTAGTAAAGCGTCAAGTAACCAAAAATGCTCTAGACGTTTGCTGACACCCACAGCCCCGAGCAACCCTCACTGGTGGCTCAATATTTGTTTCGGCACATCCTTGTCGCTGTGCGCGTACTTTTACTCTGTCTGCATGCGCCACGATCCGGGCTACGTCCCCAGGATGAAGGGCATTGCTGAGCAAAAAATCGTCATTGACGAGCTGCTCGGCCTGTGGAAGTTTGATGAGGCCAACTTTTGCGTGACGTGCATGATCCGGACGCCTCTGCGCAGCAAACACTGTAAGCAGTGCCAGCGCTGCGTGGCGAAACACGACCACCACTGCCCATGGGTGTACAACTGCATCGGTGTGAACAACCATCGTCACTTCTTCCTCTACCTCATCAGCTTGAGTTTTGGCATCATTTTCTACGACTGGCTTCTCTACAGCTGTATGTCCTGGTATGTCTCTCTGGAACGCGGCATCACGTACTGACCAGATCTAGACCTCAACGATGTCTCGATCAACGCCTCCGACAGCTGCAGTATCTTGTCTCCGACGCTCTGCAAGATTGTCAACGCAGACGGCTACACGGCCGTCCTCGGCATTTGGATCACGGTTCAGCTGACCTGGGTCAGCATGCTCCTCTTCGTGCAGTTTGTCCAGGTGTCGCGCGCCATGACGACCTTTGAGAATATGTACGGCATCCGCGACGCGTCCGCCACGTCTGCCTTTACCTCCACCGGCACCCCTCTCGACCCGAACCAGGCCGCGCTTGCCGCCCCCGACGGCAGCGTCGCGCCGTCAGCCCTCAGCAAACACGGCCACGCCCACCGCGGCGGTTTCATGAAGCAAATGTTCCGCCTGCTCGGCGTCGAGCCCTTCCTCGAGACGGTCCGCGGCCGTGGCGCCGCGACGGGCGGCAACGCCAAGAACACGCGCCGCAAGAAGAGGAACCCCTACTCGCGTGGCATCGTCACCAACTGCCGCGACTTTTGGTGCGACCCCGCGCCGACCTTTGGGCAGCGCGAGAACGGCGCCGCCGTGCTCGGCGGCGAGCCCGTCGATTACACGGCCATGTATGAGAGCCCCAGTCTCATGGATATCGGCCGCGGCCGGCGCCGCGGCGGTTACGAGGTCGTGGCGGCCGAGGAGGTGTAAGCGGTCGCGGCAGTCCTGAATCTGTTTTGAAGGGGTCCTGGCGTCCCCCTCTGTTCCTCTAGACAGGGCTTATGAGCCCCCACCAGAAGATTTTTTCTTCTGAGCAGCAGCGAAAGCAATAACGAACAGCAGACGCCCTGTATGTACTAATTGTGCTTGGGACGAAAGGGCCCAACGCCGGGCCGCAAAGGGGCGTCGACGACCGACACGCGTCATGAAAGAAGAAAAAAAAACCTTGGACTTGAACACAGGCAGGTGGGCGTCATACTTGTCTGCTTGCGTCGAGAGGGTTGTGGAGGTAGATGCCGTGGTGCGGAAACGGGGGAGCGGGGGTGGAAGGCGCATCTTGCTAGCAGCTAATCATGGGCGAAGGCATTTCAGAGAGCGACGGACGGGCGTGTCCGATGTATTAGCGGGTGTCGAGCTGATCCGGCTGGCGTTGATTGACTTGTGTGTGCATGTTATTGTGCGAAGACTGATTCGTGGTGTTGTGTTGACCTGGATGGTGACTTGATCTGGTCCAAGGGACTGAATTCTATTATCAAGCCATGTTCATTGTATCATCACGAGAGGGGACAATTGTTCCACCGCAATGCCAGAGGCATGTCACTTTGGCCGTGAGGTCTTTTTACTCGAGAAACTTGATGAGATACTACCACGGCACTCGTCGCCCTCCGCAAACGCTTGATCCGGCCTCGCCTCGTTGGTGCACCTATCGCCACAGGCCTCCTTGCAGAGACACGTGATCCTCCTAGCTACATCATCATGCTTCTCCCCCAGCGCAAAATATCACCAAAAAGCCCTCACCGAAGGAGCCCTCGCATCCGTCCTACTACTCCCACCGCCTGGCCGCCGTCACGAGGACCCTCACGGCGCCGGCCAACCCCGATCTCCACCCGGGACGGAACGGTACGCAAAAAGACGCTGGGGCTGCCTCTACTGTCCTAAGCCTCAAGGGTAGCGGGTGGTGTAGGGCTGTGCTGTGCCATGCGGCCCCCACCCCCGTCCCGTCTGCTGCGGTTTCGTCGTTGGCGCGGCGGGGCTGAGCGCTGCGCGTGTCCGTCATGGTGCGTTGCCAGCCACGTTAGAGAACAAAGGGGGGAAATCACAAGACTATTCATCTCTACAGTCGTACAGAGTCGCGTCTGAGCTTGCTTTACCCAGCAGCCCTATGGCTGCCAAGGAACTTGTTTCACGGCACCGCTGGGTTGCCAATGGCGGGGCACGGGGGGGGCATCCAGACCTGCAAGGCAGACTCGTAGGTTATCTTGTTTTCGTGGTTTGTCATGTTGGCGATGGCTTCCTCGTGCAAGTTTGCTTTGTCTTGGCAGTTTCTGCTTTTCGAACTCCTTTGTCTTCATGCATGCATCCTCGCCGTCAGACGACGCGTGTCCTTGGGCCAGCGACGAGCATCATGCTGAGGGCTCGAAACTCTTGGTCAGCCTCGCTGGTCTTGATTCTGCCATTAGCATGTTCAATGGGTGCTCGCGCAGCGAGAAGGAAGAGGTAGCCAAAGACACCAGCCAGTCAGCGCTGCCCACTTCTCCGCCCCCAACTTGGGGGCCGCACCCAAGCCCTGTTGAGACGGATTCGCCAGCAGCAGGGGCAGCAGCGAGCACCCAGCAGCAAGAAGCAGCAAAATCTGTCGTCGCGAGTGCACGTGCAGCAAATGTGTAGGCTGCAGTGCGGCGGCATATTGTGGCCTGTCTCCGAAGGCTGTCCCGGTTTTCCAAGCCAGGCTGCCATGGCACGGGACCGACGTGCGCCCTTGATGAAATTGTGGTGGCGGTGTGTTGCGTCCCCTGCTTTCAGCTGGCGGGGCTGAGAGAGTCCTTGACCAAAGTCCTTCGGCAAGGGGTAAGAAGTCGAAGAGGAGGACGAGGGAGCATTAGGAGGTGGTCGCCGTCGTGAACCAATGGGCACGATCATAGATGATTCCGAAGGCAGCACAAAGTAAAACTCTGCCGGCATGATGATCTCGACTCCACGTGTGTAGTACGCAGGCAGACAGACAGCCAGGGCATTGGAAATTCGACAGCGATTGCTCAATAGAATGGCCCCACGATCGTTGCCTGGGGCTCGCCAAGACTAGCGAAAGTGGAATTGGCATTGTACCTCAACCTCCCGGTCGCTGCCTCGCTCCCGGTTGCTGCCTCGCATTCTGGTGGAGACAACGGTAAGTGACGAGTGCGATGCACAACGTTTCGGCGTATCGTTCTGGACCAGTGCCTGGAGCCGATCAATCCTAGAATTGATGGAGAATGCAGGACATCTGGCGGTGGCCGTGGCCCGCGAAGGAACAGCATAGCCCACGAACGCAAAACGGTCCGTCAGCCACAAGCAGCCAGTCGTGTCGGTGACGATGTTCCTTGCAGCGGGAGGCGATATTGCTGATGCACAACATTGCGAGGCCTCAAGCCTTTTGCTTTCCTTCGTCAGAACGATAGGGCGCGAGGTACAGGCGGTCATGATTGCTGGTCAGGGCCAGTCGATCGTGGTGGTCTTACTCTGCTTTAGTGCGCCTAGGCAGGCAGTCGATCGGCTTTGGCCTCATGCAAACTACTGCGAGGCCAATCAGAACTAGCAACTTGGTCAGTCCACACAAAGTGTCATGCCTACCAGGAATGTCGTGCCAGTGTCCACCGGATCAGTGTCCATCAGACCAGTGTCCATCAGACCAGTATCAATGGGACCAGTGTCCCGGGTGGCCTGCGAGGAAAGTGGAAAAAAGCCATTCGTGATGAGTCAATCGCGGGGCCGCGGGGGTGGAGGAACGGTACCGAGCAGCGGTTCTGGGCATCTTTCCCTCCACAGGCTATTACCGAATTGATATTCCAGTTCCCCCAGGTCGTTGTCTCGCGGGGAGGCGAGTGGTACTATGCACCAGACTGGGACATGGACGGGGTGTCAGAAGAGAACAAGCGAGGTACGTATCGCGAGCGCGTCTAATTATGCCTTGCGCGTGGCCGTGCCTCTGGCGGCCCTCGTCTGTTTTACTCCTGGGCCTCATGTTCCTGGGCCTCATGTTCCTGGGCCTCATGCCGGCGGTCGGGTCAGTCTGGGGAAAAGTGGTTTCGACAGGCGCTGGCAGCACCAACAATGCGGTTCTCGGACTCTCCGTGGCGAATCCAATGCGAACTGTCCAGTCGACAAGAAACAGACATCCATAGCAAGGGGGGGTGATTCTCTTAGGGCTGTGCTATTTTTGTGAGTGGATTCGCACTGACAGCCGCTTCGTACGGGGGAGAGGGGGGTTCTCGTCCTCATCCGGAGAAGGTTGGTGGTCTCTGCTCTTCGTGGGTGGAATGAGCCCGCCACTCAGATGGCTGGTGACCTCGAGAGCATCGATGGCCTCTTCGAAACACGCGTCTAATCCTCGACCAGAAACGGCCGCGTCTTTGTCTCTCTGCATGGGCGGTTCCTGGCAGGATTCACCTGCCGCGCAATTGGTATCCATCAAATCTAGGACTCGCTGTGGTTTTGGTGGTTTGGTGAAGAGTCTCCGTGGTTGGTGGCAGTACGGACGCAGATGCACGCAAGAGGTGTGCCGCATGATCATTTCCCAGTGTCCTGTGTCCTACGGTCTACGGGTTTAACTGCACCCCCGTCATCATCGTCATTTGGCAGGGAAGATGGTCCATGCTCAGCCTCGAGTGAGGCGGTGCGGCTGGGGATTCCTGGTGATTAGACCCTGCGCCTACTCCCCTCTAAAGTCGGAGGCGCACCCCTAGGAGACCCTTAGGGCCACAGGCATTCCTTCCCCTCCTGCCTCCTAGGCCTCCCCGTCCCCCTCCTCCCCCCTTCTCCCCCCAGCTGCTGGTACCGAGTACAGGTACGTACCGCGCGCCGCTGCGAGAGTGCCTTGGCGAATGAATCACAGGCCTCCAGGCAGCCAGTCCTCAGTGGGTGCAGTGCTTGCAGGGGCTAGGTACCCCTGGCCACCTTTTGGCAGGAAGGGCAAGAAATGAGCAGGGGGGTCACTGCCGCCAGCAGAATCCCACCACACTACAGACGCAGGCGCACCTCCCCCATCCTCCTCGAGACGCGTCGATATAAGACTCTCACATACCGCCTCTTCCTGCCATCACGAACTCCTGGTCCAGACCTTCCTCTCACTGCTACAACCACAACCGACACCACCACACACTACTCGTACCGCCACCAATTTTTTTCCACTTCACCAACCATCCACGAACACTCAGCCCTCCCTCCCTGGCATATAACGTTGGATCCCCTCTTCAGATGTCCTCATGTACTTGAAGCCATCCGATCGTCAAAAAACCACACTCAACTTTGACACTGCCGACTGATAACCCACAAACAACAACCATCACCACGCCCTACGTGCACATCACCAACGAGTTCCTCACCAGGCGACCAAGCCGACACAACCACACTCCAGAGGCCCCCCAAACCGCCACCATGTGCACCTCGGAGCTCTTCACCACCAGGTACGCCGACGGCACCGAGAAGCTCAGGCGCCAGGACAACCGCTGCTCTCAGGTTCCGCCCGGCTTCCTCTGCGCCAACCCGCGCATCGTCAACCACCCCACCAACTACGAGACCGCGGCCTCATCACACCTCCCTCCCACCCCGCGCCTGACGCCCTACGGCTCCCCGCGCCCCTCCACGCCCCTCGCCTACTCGTCTGCCAATGAATCTGATAACTCACGCCGCAGCTCAGACCGCAAGCGTGTCTACATCTCTGGCCAGAAGGTCATTGACGTGACTCGCAAGTCTGGCAAGGCCCGAGCCCGTGACGAACGCATCATCATCGTCGACGGGCCTCCCACACCCCGCACTCCGCCTCAGCACTTTGGTATGCCATTTACCGCGCCTTCGTCGCCAAGGACAGGATACCAAATGGCATCTTCCCACTATGCTCGCCGTGAGAGGGAGCACGACACACTCCGCCCCGTCATTGTTGACGAGAGGCCGAGCCGCCATGTCCACTTTGACGCAGCACCCGCCGCCTACCAGCCCTCCAGCTCCCGCCGGCACCACGTGGCGGAGCCTACCTACGTTGCCCCCTCGTCTGACGACGAACGTCGGCGTCGACGCTCACGCCGCGAAACACGCTATCACGATAACGAAGAATACCAGCGCCAGGCTGACCATGAGCGCGCCGCCGAGCTCGAGCGCATCATGGCTGCCCGCGAGAGCCGCCGCCAACCCCAACAGGAGGCTGACCCCGAGCTTGACCGTAACATCCGCAAGGCCGAGCGCATCGCCCGCCTCAACGAGCGGATCGATGCCCGTCCTGCCGTGCCCATCCCTACCCTGAGGCGCACAGCAACCGACTTTGCCGGCGAGGAGCGAGAGCGTGAGCTGCGAGAGGCGGTCCGCGGTCTCGACCTCGGCGACAGACCCCTACGACGTTCTCAAACAAACACTGCTGTGCCCCGCCGCGAAGCGCGAAGGGAGCAGCAGGCCATCGAGGAGGAAGAGGAGGCGCAACGCAGGCGCCTGGCTGAGAGGATGATGCCGCGCCGACGAGCCACAGTGGGCCCCGGCAGCAGGCGGCACCGAGTCCTGTACGATGATGGCGTGTACCGTTGGGAGTAAGAAGGTTGTCGCAAGCGGCTGTTATTTTTTCGTGCAACATGTCATAGACATTTCCTTTGTCAAGCGTTGCATTTCGGCCAGGATGATAGCACTGGCGGCGGGGATCTTGGGAACGCCCGGTTTTGGCGATTAGGATACCACATGAGATTGGCACATCTCCAGGGATTGGATAGTTTAGAATCTTGGAAACCAAGCACGATTCTGCACTCCACACATTTTTGCCTGCAACCACGTCTCGGGTCTCTGTATGTCTTGTGATGGTCTTGATGGGTGCATGTCTCACTCTTTCGTCAACGTCGTAAATCCAGGGGGGGGTGAAAGGCACGGTGCCAAGCGGTGCATCTTGGTCAGTCAGGATACGAGGCCCCTGGCCCCGGCCATGTCGATCCCCGCGTCTTTCGGGGACCGTCGATCACCACGTCTGTCTTTCCCCACGCGTCCGCTTCACCTTTTGGCACATCCAGGGTTCTCGAGCGCACTGTCCTTTTGTCCCATCCTGGCAACGCAAAACCAAGGAAGTGGCTGACATGAGTCGTCCGCTTTTTTTTCTTACTCTCTCTTCTCTCTTTCTTTTCTCCAAGTGGCTCGCGAATCGCCTCGCCTGCTTGCCGATTCGTCACCGTCACTGATCGCACGACTGCAGGTGGCAGATCTGGGAATTTAGGCCGGGGTCATCCCACGACATGTACAGAATAGAGCCTAGGCGGGACAAGCGCAGGCAGGCAGGCAGGCAGCGGGAACGGGTTTACGGGGGTTCATTGTATTTCAAACGCCCCCCCCCCCCCCCTCATCGCAGGCGGGGAGGGATGCCTGGAGATGGCCCCGGAGTGGTGTGGTCCCGAGTCTTTTCTTCTCGATCAAGAGGGGGGGTGGGCGGAGGTGGTACGCTGGTTTTTTTGACGAAATGGTGATGCTATCGTTGTCCTTGCTGGGCCTTTCGTAAACGGAGAGGGATGCCCCGCTGGACACGAAGTTGCACTTTTGGCCTTTTGCTGGTCCTTCACTGGTGGCGAAGAACGCGAGGATGATGCGACGTGGAAAGGCAGGTGAGACTTGGAAACCGGAAATCTGGATACAGTGCCAAGGTTGGACGACACCACTTTCTCGGCACGGGCTGGCGAGCGGGTCTGTTGTCTCCCGCGGTGCTTTGCTCTGCCGCAATGCCATTGTTCCAGTACGAGCTTTGTTTCCTCTTCCGAGGTCATCGCGAGCTGAGATCTGGCTGGAGTGGGTTCACAAACGCCGGCCGAGGGGGGTCATGCGGCCTGCCAGCGGCGGGATTCGGTGTCGTGGGGGAGGGGATCAGGACGCGAGAGGGTGTAGTGGTGTGCCTTGCCGAGTGACGCATTCTGTCGGTGAGCTTGGTGGGGTGTGTGGCTCGGGTGCTGCTAGTGGCTGGTCATGTGGCTGGAGAACGGCATCTGGGGGGGAGCGGCATCGCCAATGGCCGCGGGGCGAGATGGTCAGGTCTGAGACCGCATGGGATAGTTGTGGTTGCGTTGCATGCGTCTCGCGACGGTCCGCAGGCCATGTGAAATATGACCGGAAGATTGTCTCGGTACCTAGCGAACAGTTACTTCGTTGGGGAGGATGCTTCTTGATACGCATTTCCCGGTCAGTCGACTGGCTTCATGTTTCTCTGTGACGGGACCCTCCCTCCTCACATCAGATCTGTGGTGTCAGATGTCGAAAAGATCAGGCGGTCGTCTCCTGGACTTGGTTGATGTCGCCGGTGGGTGGTGATGGAGTCCCAAGTGTGGAGCCACGTCGTTGCTGTGTCTCATATGTTGATTGGTTTTGTTGCCGAAACCTCACGAGGAGGCAACATCGTCGCGGCGGCAGATTGTGGTCGGGCAAGGCTTTGGAGTTGGAGGGGGCTGATACTATGTAATGCGTTCTTGATTTTCTATGATGACTGATGTCGAACCAGTACGCGAACAATCGACGACGGGCATCCCCAGTTTTCAACTCTGGGAGCAACGCCTCACCCACAAACAGTATCAATCTAGTGCGATAGAGGTAGATATTGAGCTTGAGCAGGTACACGTTGTATTTTACAAATATACTGCAAATCCTCGTCACCCCTTCGCTCTGGTGTTTCCTACGCCATGTCTACAATGGCAACCTGGCAAGTATCGGCAGTAGCTGCACATGCGTCTCCGTACAATCACAGATAGAACTATGAGCGGGTGTGACAGACTGCCCAGCCACATTGGGAAAATGCAGCTGCAATGCCGCATCTTTCAGGATACACGGACACACGAGTCTTCAACATAGCTTTCGTGCCAGGACGTGTAGAGTGTTACTTTGCATCAGACTGGTAGTGTAGACGAAGAGAATTGCCGAGTCTCACAATTCCATGGCGGCCCTTGACCTGGGTCAGCTACCATGTAATGTCTGAGATTCCTCGGTTTGGGCAGAGCGTGGAATGGAGGCACCAAGGCATGAAGGCATGGTGATATTGGAGACAGTACAAGGTATCGTTGCGATATCTGTGAATTAAATCAACCAGAAAATCGCAATAGCAATAGTGATGCGGAGCAACAGAGATCTTTCCACGCGTTGACGGGCGTGGGTAGTAAACAAACAACACTGACCAGTCGCCCAGTGTGAGAACCGCACTATATGGCTCTTCAACCATGACAGCACCCCACAACATCTCCCCTCTCCTTCCTCCCCAATCACGCCCATCCATCAACAACTCCACGAAATTGCACTTGACGGGTAACAAAATATCTCTACAATTAATCAATACATCTCTCCCATACCCATTCGTGTCTGGACCCATACACGAATTCATCATCACTCCGTTGCCAGATCGGCACGCGAAGAGCTGGTTGTCTTCCACGCGATCCGAGATTCGACTCCTTCGTCGTTTGAGCCGTCTAGCGAGACCCAGGAGGTCTTTCAACTTGCATAAGAAGCTTGATCCTCAGGTACGCCCTTGAGCGCCATTGTATTGGCACCTAAACTTCGCTTCTGACTCGCAGCAGGACAACTTAACCTCCTGCATACCATCGCTGTACTGTCATCAAAGGAAGTTGACCTGTTTGAGATCCATCTGCTGTTGAGTCAAGAGAAGATAACGATCATCGTGATGTGCCACATTGGAGATATTCTCTGCTTCTTCTGCGACACGAAAATAGCCACAAACGCCCTCATTCAGCGGTGCGAGGCCTATGCTCTCAGGTGCTTTGGGCTTCAAGAGCTCCAGATAGAGGAGATCCAGACTCATTGGCAAGATTTCTCGTGTTTTCTACCACGCGATACTCCTGTTCCGGTCTTCGATCACGAGCAGTGCCCCTTCAAGCGCGTTGGGTCATTCAAGGTCTACGACTACCCTTGCCCTAACCCAGCTTGCAAGAAAAGACTCACACAGCCTTCGGCCAACAAGACTCCCATAACAGCCCTTCGAAACTGTGATTGGGTCTCCAACTTCTACGCGCCTGGTCTCATGCCCATTGTTCAGTGGTTCAACACATACCTCGAGAACTGTAACGAGAGGAACAATATCCATCGACAGCTCATTGCTCCTCACGCGGTGAACCCTCACATGACTCCTCTGGTAAGTGCTTAAGGCCTTGTTCGCGTAACTCAATTTTACGTGGCTAATCTAGACCAAAGGAGACCATTGCCGGCCCCGTGTATCGCGATCTAACAGCCGAAGAGCTCGTCAAGCACACCATGGGGCAAGAGGGAAATCTTCCTGATGGGATAACCGGAACCTACGTTGACAGCATTACTGTCGAGACTACCCCGGTTACTGATGCAATCTGCGACGATGATGGATCGCTCTTTGGCGATGATGGTCAAGATATCAATTTTGCCAGCATTACTTCTTCCGAGCCTGAAGCTGTGATCAACAGCTCAACGACCAAATACTGCTCAGACCCTAACCCTAGTTGGTGTGATACCGCCGGGGAGGCAGACGTGAACATGATCAACAAGCAGCCAGGCAAGAATTACACCACTGCCAACTCGACTCAGACGGGTGTCGCGAGCATGCCCTCGCAGACCCCAGGACAGGGACACGTTGAAGTCGGAGCTTAGAACGCTCAAACATCTTGCAACGTCAACCCCGACATAAGCCATCTTGAACAGACCGATAACGGAGAGATCAGCTTCGAGTTCGAGGACGTCACTTTCTGCGGCGATGAGGATGAACAGGGGGAACTCACTGCTGTAGCTCCTCCTCAAGCTGCAACAGCACTAGTCACTCCTGACCCTTCGGCATTCCACCCACAGCAGCAGGCCAAGAAGGCCCAGCGTCCGCCCCCCCAGCCCATCGCCGTTCCTCTCGTACCTCCCATGGCTAATTCAATCTTGGTCTCAGGGGATGTTCAGAGTTTCTCCCAGAATCTTCACGTTGGCGTTTCTGGGGGTGTGAGTCGCACTGGGAAAGCCCTCGAACATGGCTATAACAACAACGCTGCGCCAGCGGGCGTGTCACAGCTTGCGCTGCCCACAGGCGGAACGAACAATGTCACCATTGTCACTAGTGTGCAAAACTATGAGGGCTCTAGCAAAGATGGCAGAAAAACTACCAAGAGCAAGAAGAAGGGCCGCAACTCTGTCGAAAATGCCGCCGCAAACAAACGTCAGCAGGCTCTGCTCAAGTCACTCGCCGAAAGCGAGGCTGCTCGGATGCGCAAGAACGGTGCTGCAGCTGCTGCAAACTCGACCGCGCAATTCATGGGTTCTGTGTCACCACTCAAATGTCCCCGTACTTTCTCTCCAGACATCGTCGTTCAAGCTGATATTGAGGCGAACCCTGGCAACTACATGACCGAACCACACGCCGACCCATCTTCTGCTCAGCCAAGTGGATTCAATGTCGTTGTTGACACCGCGTTTAACAGCAGCAACGTCCAGGGCTCTGTCAGCCACTCGATGGACCCGGTCCAGAGCAACAAAGGCTTCATCAACGACCCACCACCGCAGGGTCATGCTACAGCCAGTAAAAGTCATGATTCTCCCATTGTGCCAACCAGGTTCTACCAAGGATCGAACCAAGTCATCAACTGCCAGCCTCAGCATCTTCAGGGCAATTTGCTCCAGCACGATCGTGGCTCGCACCATGGCTGCGACTCGTCGCCGGGAGGGGTTCATCCTGCCATGGACCTCGACGGACAGCAGCATAACAACAACCTCTTCAGCCATGGAGGGGTAGTAAATGAATACAATAGCCATCCTGAGGGGGGTTTCATTAACAGCCCTATTCAGCATAACTTCTCGGCCGGAGGGGACCAGAATGTGTTCCATGACGTGGCCAAAGCCGTTGTTATGGGCACCTCCAACTCCGACATCGCCATTGACCCCCGTCTCTGGGAGGCTAGTCAGGTTGCGAACTTGAACGACACCACCGATGCTCAACTCGCCAGCATGGGCTTCGTCCGTGCCAATGCTCTTCCCACCTCGCAGTCCGCGGAACGGTTGACCGCCAACACGCCTCAATATCCCGAATTCAACGTGGGCACCTGGGTTCAGCCGAGCTCGCCCACTTACGGTTCGAGCAGCAGCGGGGGTTGTATCTCGCCTTTCAAAAGCCATCACATCGGCACTTCCCAAGGCGAAATCGATGACTGTGCAGGGGACATGGCTGACCTGGGCAACGAACGACAGCCTAGCCGCCGCACCAGCAAGAAGCGAAAGAGCAGCAAGGCGAGCTGCCTTGATCTCTATGGCCCCACGACTGAACAGCCTCCACCCATGATGACAGAGGCTATGCGCGAGGCTCTCGCTTCTCAAAGCAGCGGTGGTGCTGTTGCTCCTATTGCCAACATGGCGGAGCCTGTTGTTGCTGCTGAGGGGCCCATCGTGGAGGATCGGGCGCAAATGGAGAGAATGGAGCTCTTCAGAATGATTCAGGAGGAACAGAGGAAGTTTCAGGCACAGCAAAAGGCTGAGTGGGAGGCGTTCGAGTTGCGTATTCAGCATATCCTGCAGGGACATGGTGGTCAGTGAGCCAAGATGGGTCGACTTTTTGTATGTGGTAGACACGAGGCTTGAGAGACGATAGGCGGATTGTCAATCAATATGCCTTGCGAGTACGTGTTGCATCGTCATCCTCGTGTACATAAGATTGTCCGCAGTACAAAGAAAGTGATACATGATTCCCACTGAAGTCATCCGTATATCAGCGAAGGTTAGAGACCCATTTAAAGGAGTGATACCAGGGGTCGAGCCACGCCATATGATAAAGAGTTTCTTCGGGACTATTTAGAATGCATACTAAATCAAGCTTCCTCCCCCAGCTTGATCGACACTTGGGGTCTGTCAAAACATCCAAAGCGCCTTGGAGAAAACAATTGCAAGACACAGCCGCAAGTTAATGTGGCTGGCACTCTACGACATGCCAACCTGTCGAACGCCAAGCCAATCATGGCCCAGATCTCAGGTCGAGCATGTGCATTGAGCTGCATGAACGGGCAGCGTTGGATTTGGCGGTGAGACCAAGCAGTGGCTCGTGGGTCTGATCCGGAGTGTGGGATCCAATAAGCGGGTGTCTCGCGTTGATGTCAGAATTTGACGATCGATTATGCTGCTCGGAAACCCGAAGAACTCAGTTGATGATGGAAAAGAGAAGCGAGATGTACAACACAGGCAGAGGGGCCATTGTTGATGTTAATGCTGCTTGCTGCTGCTGCTGTCAAAGGTGTCCAGGATTTGTTCAAAGGAACCTAAGCTGCCCATTGTGGCTAAGGGATAAACACGCTTGTGGCTCGTGCGCTGTGGGTTGCCCGTGGTAGCCAGTGACGGAGCTAAGCCTCATTAGGAAAGGCGCGATGCCAGCGCAAAGGAGGCCCGGAGCGATCCACAATCAACATTGATCGCAGTCATTTGGCTTTCGGATGCGGCCTGACGAAGACTCCCTTCTACATCGACAACCCTCGCGACAACATCGCGACATACGCCTAGCGACAACACGGCAGCGGCATAGGTAAGTCAGCCGCCCGTGGTACGACCGTCGACAAAACCGACACGCGACAACCCTCCGACACCAAACGACCCGCTGCGACCGATCGCAGCTCAAGGTGCATCCCGCCCCCTCGATATTGTCGTGCACCCCAACCACCGCCCTTGGGTCCATTCCGAAACCCAAGCCCGCAATTTCCTACCAAACGGACCTGACACCTATCGCCAGCGACAGACCACGTCGCCAGAGCATCTCGACCGTTTTTTTGACAGCATCTCTTTTGTTTGGCAGCATTTCCAACCATTATCACCATTTTCGGATTGCAGCGCAACTGACCCGACCGACGACCCCCCGAGCAGCGTCGTCATCCCTGCCTTCCAAAACGGTTTCACATGCGATTCCAAGCCAGCGCCTCCGACAACGCGCGCTGAACACCAACCATGGCCGAACCACCTTCGTCGCCGCCTGGCGAGTCTGCCTCCGCCGAGGACTCCTTGTCGTGGTACAAGTCGCAGTATGAGGTGCTTGAGCAGGAGCTCGCCGAGTTCAGAGAATCGAGCAAGGAACTTGAGCAGGAGCTCGAGAAGGATATCGAGCAGGCTGAAAAGAGGGAGCGTGAGCTTCAGGAGAAGGCGGAAAGCCTTGCATTCGAGGTCGAGGAGTGGAAGGTGCGTTTCGGCTCATCCCTTTGCTCGCCGAAGTAGAGGGGCAACCACCCCCCCCTCCGCACAACGGAGTGCTGACATGCTAGTCCAGGCCAAGTGCAAGCAGTCCAAGGCTGAGGCCAACGCGGCGCAGAACCTTCTCGAGAAGGAGGTGACGACCCTCCGTGATGCCAACAGGGGTTTGACCATGAAGCTTCGCGATATCGAAGTGGCCAACGATGACTTTGAGAGGCAAGCCCGCAACACGACGTCTTCCCTGGAGGACCTTGAAAGCAAATACAACGTTGCTATCGAGCGTGGTGTTCTGATGGAGGAGGAGATCAAGCTGGCCGACCGCGAGCGCGAGACTCTTCGCATCGAGGCCCAGCGCCTGCGCGAAGAGCTTTCCGACCTCAAGATTGAGGCCGAGCTGCTACAGGACAAGATCAAGAAGCAGGAGGACCGTCATCTGTCCCACATTTCCACCGACATGTCCATCCTCGAATCGCCCACCTTTGACAAGACCATCGATGCCTCGCCCAACTCAACAGCCAGCTCCCCTCTCATCACGACACCCCCCGACACGGCCCAGCTGCGGGCCTCGAAGGCGCTGCACTCTCACGACCCTCCTTCGCCTCCCATGTCCGACGTCTCGGCGCCTGCTCCTTCGGCCAGGAAACCCGCTACGAAGCCGGTCGCCAAGACACCCGCGCCGTCCACCCGCAAGTCCCGACTTCCTTCTGCCGACCACAGCATCACGCCAAAGCCGAGGTCCAACATTGCTTCTTCCACGACGAGCAGGCCGGTCGGCCGCTCTGTCACTGCAACGTCAGCCACCCGCACGCCAGCCCCACGAACCACGGCCCGAGCCGCCTCCCATCGCATCCCAGCGTCCAACTCCCTCACACACATCCGCTCCCTCACCGCGCAAATGCAGCGTCTCGAAGCCCGCGTCCAGTCGGCTCGCTCCAAGCTGCCTGCGCCCGTCAACACGCCTCCCAGGGCATCTCCCCGTTCATCTGTCAACGGCTCGAGCAATGTTCCTTCGACGGTTACGATCCGTTCTCGCAAGCGCACTATTGGCTCCTCCTCCGCGACAAGCTCCATTGTCGGCGACGAACCCACGCCCACGAACCCCCGCAACTCCACACACAGCACCTCAACCACTGGATCCAGGCACATGTCTCGACCTAGCGCGTCGGGCATCAGCCGTCTCTCGTTCGGGCCCCTTCCGAATCGCAACCCTCCTGGCGCCGACTCGGATGCTTCCATCTCACGACCCAGTTCACGCGCCAGCCTGTCCTCCTACGCACGCCCGGCGAGTCGCACTGAGATGATCCCACCACCAAGGCCCATGAGCCGCTCGAGTCTCTCGGGCGCACGAACGCCTCTCGGCCGACCGAGGAGTTCGATTGGCATGCACGGCCATTCGGCGAGCATCTCCCGCATCGATATGGACGAGGCGGACGAAGATGCCGCAGCCGCGGGTGAGCTGCGCACGCCCAGCCGCAGAGGAACGTACTCGCGCTTTGACACGGACGGTGGTGCCAGCAACATCCCCATGCCTGGCAGGCGGCAGAGCGGCAGCGGACCGTCGACGCGGCGGACGAGCAGCGGTGTCGACCTCCGAGCCTCCGTGCGACGGTCGGCCGTCGGCGCACCAGAGAGCCTTGAGGAGGAGACTTATTAATCATCACGGGACAGAGACGGCAAGAGGTGCGGACGGAGACACGGAAGATACCCCAGCAGGACGAGAAGGAGGAGGAGGAGGAAGAATCACCAGCGGTGCTCGAATACCCCCTCTTTCTTTTTTCCACACACACACATACATCACATACCCCTTATTCTACATACATCCAAGCCGCCGCGCGTTAGGGCGGGCGGTACCAGTCGCTTATAATTCTTTCCTTTGTCGAACCACCTCCCTTTTTCCTCTTCTTCTTCTTGATGATTACGGCGACGGGAGCATGAAGGGTAGCAGGGAGGAGCCAGCATGATTTATTACGAGCGGGAAAGGGGCGGGGGGCCAATACAGGCAATGGATCGGCAGGCGGCTTGTTCTTGTTTTCTGGTCGTTTGGTTGGGCAGATGGTGATGTTTAGCTGCTAGGCCCGCAGGGCAGAATGAATGATTGAGGGTGTCGAAGATGCATGTGCGCGCTACAGAGTGATGAGGATGCGATGCTTGCGTGACGATGTTGAGATGGCGCCGAGTCATGCGACTGGCCTCGCGGGTCAAGTTCACGGGCAGATTACGACGGAGCAAAATGTACAACAATGTGATAGACGGTGCTGGATTGGCTTTCCAAGTCCAGCACAGGTGCAGTCTGGAAGTGACGAAAGTGATTCGGGCGGTTGGGACCGTGACGCCGGCCCGATCATGGAGCAATGAGTAGAAGTGGTAGCGTAGAATTCAACCTCCTCCAGAAAGGGTACTCGGGACACAAGAACCATATGGCAACGAAGAACGAAGCAAATCAATAAAAAAGCTCACGAACGAGACACATCCAGCATTGGACAGACGACGGAGCCCCTGAGCTTCGGCACACATCCAGGTCGACATCACGAACCGCATCGAGAACCGATGCGATGCGCCCGATCGATCGACGCAAGCCCGATGCCGAGAGACCCCATGGGTTGGCTGATTGATTTAGCCTTCTCCCCCTTTTCCCAAAGTGTCCCCCCAGCCTGCGCCACCGAAACGGGGGGGGGCAGAAAGCTCAAATGTGAGGTCCGAAATGGAAATGCAACAGAGCGACTCCAGTCCGCGGACGGCCGAGGGTAGCGAAGGAAAGGACGAACGGAAGTCCGCGGGCGGGCTCAGCGAGTGGCGCCGTGGGCGGGACGGGTAGGGGAGGGAACCGCGCAGCCGGCGACCTTTTCTTAGGGGGGTTGGAATGGAGTGTACTGTTATTTGTTCTGCCCATGTCGATTGTTGGGCTCTCGAATACCTGGCGGGGACTACCTACCTTACCTACCTGCCTAGGTACCTTGAGGTAGTTGGAGGGGCTGTCAGGCCTGAGAATAGAGGTTCAAGAGAGAGATCTTGACACGTCAAGTGTGGTAAACGCACAGCTTCTGGCTTAGCGGGCAGGGCCTGAAGACGACAGGGGCAGAACAATAGCCGTGCTCGGGGAATCACCCCTGTGGCGGGGCGGATGCGCTGATGAATGAGACACACTCTCACTGAGAGCGCTGCTGCTTGTCTTCTCAGGACGAGAGAGGGGCACCGGGTGGACGCGGCGGACAAGATGTTGGGGATCTGCGGGTGGGGCTCAGGGGACCACCCCAAAAACCCAGGCAATACTTGTACATGTACATGGAACGTACCGGAACCAGGGGGCGCGGAGGACGGGGCATGGGTAATTGACGGGTCGCTTTGCTCTCTTGTTGGGCCGAGAGGGTTTTCCCCCTCGCTCGAATACATGGGCGGGCTGTCTGCTACGCGTGACGAGAAGCCTTGCATGCGATTGCAGACATTCTTATCAGGATCCCTCTGGTCTGGGGCGAGGTTGAGAGGAGGGTCCGCCGCTTTCATGTCAGTTGAGAGATGACACTACATAGGGATGGATGGATGTCGATGGGTTCGGGAGGATTTTTGGAGAAGGATTCCGACCAGCTGACGTCACACTAGACCCGTTTGGGCCTGGGCGCCAGGCTTGAACGGGTTGTTGAGGGTGCTACAAGTACTGCTTGCTGCTGCCTTGGCTGATGCCCATACTGTCACTGACAAGCTCATCCATCCCTGGGAGAATTGACCTGTATCGGTTGCATTGGGAGCACAGGCGCGAGAGGCGAGACAGGCGAGGCAGCCATGTTGCAAGGCGAGACATCTGAATGGCCATGTATCTGATGTATCAAATGCTCGTTCCTGCTCATTCCACTTCCGTTTGTGCCACGAACTGAGGGGGCCAATTGGGCCGTCACCCAGCTCTGACAGGTTGCCAAAGAAAATTGGCGATGGAACCGAGGGGAACGTTTTCTCAACGGGAGCTGCGAAATCCTGGGGCACAAATACAACGACAAGGATTGAGGGAGAGGAGGAGGAGGAGGAGGGGGGGGGGGCGGGCGGATTCGCTTGGCTTGGCTTGCACAATCGATAAGGACCCGATCAAGCTGCAACGCTAATGGCTAATGGGGGGAAGCTTGCCCTGTTCGCCTCGATGCTGCAGCCGGGGGTCCAGGTTTGGCGCAGCCGGCTTCCGTCCGTCTTTTTGGACCCGATTGCTATCCCCCCCCCTCAACCCCCAGTGAAATGGAAATTGCCAGGCCCGGTTTCCTGAAGTGCGGGAGGCTATGCCAACGTTGCCGATACATTGTAGACAGAGGAAGGGGGACGATGCACCTGTCGTCTTGCATGCTACACCTGTGTGAATGGCACTTCCTCAGTCGGCAGGCCTAGATACCTAGGTACCTCGAGAGTGGTGTAAGGCTGGCAGGGCCTTCCAGCATCTTCACCCCGCCGCCATTGGTTGTGTCTCGCCAGATGGATAGATGTACCTACCTGGCTACCTGGTACCTCAGCAACGGCCACAGCACTGCTCAATAGACAAGACGTCACCTGCGCTGCGCATGCAGGACGCGGTAAGCACGGCATGACCGAACTGCATCTATACAACACTGTGATTGCAATCGCGCTGCGGTGTGTTGGTCGACGAACACCAGCGCTGCATGCTATCAGACCATGGGTCTTATGGCTCAGCTGCCGACTTGCCTTATATACCGCCAGCCTGCAATCTGCCGCCTCGTCCCTTTGCCTCTCGCCATTGATCTATACCAACTTCCTCTGCATTTTTGCCTCGACAGACCTCTACAGTGGTGGGTCGCCGATCCAACTACTCTGAATAGCACCTTGAAATCGTCCCAAGTGATCCCTCAACAGCGAGGCACAACGTCAGGTAAGTATACCTTGGGCTTTAATTCACCACTGTCACCATGGAAAGTTTCGGCAGCCTGGCCCATCAACAACCCCCACGAGCTGTCTGACCTGCCCTCTCCCTCACTCGGCCTCCGTATTGCATTCCCAGGCAACCTGCCACCAGTGTCATGGGGCGTGGGTTGGAACATGGCGCCCCAAGAACGATGCATGCCACGGGGCTAGCCAAAGAACCCAAGGGAGTCCGCCCCCCTTGTCCGGCTTGGAGAGCGGCCGGGACGAGACAGAGAGAGAGAGCAGGGTCCATTCGGGTCCCAGCAGCCCAGCAGCCAGCGGCCAGCGACCCAGCATCCCAAGATCCCAGGAACCACACCCCCCCCGGCCCCATGCCCAATTAGCGGCACCTGGACAGTTCCCCAACAGAAGATGCGACCTGGCGGACGGGAAACTTTTTGCTAACACACACACCCCTTGCCCCCCTAGTGCCGGACCGAGTCCTCGCTCTGCTCGAACATTCATCAACCCAACACCTCCTCTCTTCTCTCCTCGACATCGACTTTGTCAAACTCTCCAAATTCACCACCCAGAGACTTTCGAGCACGTCGAGTACAGAGTTCCCCCGCTACAACTCGTCTCGACCCTCAACCCACGAAACCATTCACACACCAACCGTCCACGCCTCGAAGTCCATCTCCCCACTACAGCTCCACGCAAGCTCCCTGCCCCCAAATTCATGACGGTCTCCATCTAGATACCCGCGTCTTCTCCCACGCCTATTCTTCCTCCTCCTCCTCCTCCTCTTCTTCTCCTCCTCTTCTTTCTCACACACCTCGACATTTTTTGGTAATCACACAGTCGCCGCAACCATGACTCAAGTCGAGGCAAACGGCACCGGCCGCGTCGTGCCTCAGTCCAACGGCAAAGCCTCGTACGCCGAGAAGCACAACATCGCCGACCACTTCATCGGTGGCAACAAGCTTGCCAATGCGCCCGCATCCAAGGTCAAGGATTTCGTGGCCGAGAACGACGGTCACACCGTCATCACAAATGTTCGTCTGCCCTCGCCATCGCCTGATGCCGTGCTCCCTGCCTTCTCTTTCCGCGGAGGCGCCGGATCTGACATTTTGCTGACGAGTTTCCCATCAGGTCCTGATCGCCAACAACGGTATTGCCGCCGTCAAGGAGATTCGCTCCGTGCGAAAATGGGCGTACGAGACATTTGGCGACGAGCGCGCCATCCAGTTCACCGTCATGGCCACGCCCGAAGATTTGGCAGCCAACGCTGACTACATCCGCATGGCTGACCACTACGTCGAGGTTCCCGGCGGCACAAACAACCACAACTACGCAAACGTCGAATTGATTGTCGATGTCGCAGAGCGGATGGACGTCCACGCCGTGTGGGCGGGATGGTAAGCAACAATTCGCCTGCATTTGTGTCGCTCGAGCGGCCGGCTAACCGTGTCGGCAGGGGCCACGCTTCCGAGAACCCCAAGCTCCCCGAATCCCTCGCCGCCTCGCCAAAGAAGATTGTCTTCATTGGTCCTCCCGGGTCTGCCATGCGATCTCTCGGAGACAAGATTTCTTCCACAATCGTCGCGCAGCACGCGGCCGTGCCTTGCATTCCCTGGTCAGGAACTGGCGTCGACAGCGTCGAGGTCGACAGCCATGGCATCGTCACTGTTGCCGATGACGTCTATGCGCAAGGCTGCGTCACCTCCTGGCAGGAGGGCCTCGAGAAGGCCAAGGCCATTGGCTTCCCCGTCATGGTCAAGGCCTCCGAGGGCGGCGGTGGCAAGGGCATCCGCAAGGTCGTTTCCGAGGACGGCTTCGAGGAGCTCTACAAGGCGGCAGCCAGCGAAATCCCCGGCTCTCCCATCTTCATCATGAAGCTCGCCGGCAACGCGAGGCATCTGGAGGTGCAGCTGCTGGCTGATCAGTACGGCAACAACATCTCCCTGTTCGGCAGAGATTGTTCCGTGCAGCGTCGTCACCAGAAGATTATCGAGGAGGCCCCCGTCACCATTGCCAAGGACGCGACGTTCAAGGCCATGGAGGACGCTGCTGTGCGTCTTGGCAGGCTCGTCGGTTACGTGTCTGCTGGTACCGTCGAGTACCTCTACTCACACTCGGACGACAAGTTCTACTTCCTGGAACTGAACCCGCGTCTTCAGGTCGAGCATCCCACCACCGAGATGGTCAGCGGTGTCAACCTGCCCGCCGCCCAGCTGCAGGTCGCCATGGGCATTCCCCTGCACAGGATCCGCGACATTCGTCTGCTGTACGGCGTCGACCCGAAGACGTCGACCGAAATCGACTTTGAGTTCAAGGACCCCGGAAGCGAGAAGACCCAGAGGAGGCCCCGTCCCAAGGGCCACACCACGGCCTGCCGTATCACCTCGGAGGACCCCGGTGAGGGCTTCAAGCCTTCCAACGGTGTGATGCACGACCTGAACTTCAGGAGTAGCTCCAATGTCTGGGGTTACTTCTCCGTCAGTTCCGCCTCCAGTATCCACAGCTTCTCCGATTCACAGTTCGGTCACATCTTCGCGTACGGCGAGAACCGTTCCGCGTCGAGGAAACACATGGTCATTGCCCTGAAGGAGCTCAGCATTCGCGGTGACTTCAGGACAACCGTCGAGTACCTTATCAAGCTGCTCGAGACGGAGGCCTTTGAGGACAACACCATCACCACCGGCTGGCTCGACGAGCTCATCACCAAGAAGCTGACTGCTGAGCGCCCTGACCCCATGCTGGCCGTCGTCTGCGGTGCTGTCACCAAGGCGCACATTGCCAGTGAAGACTGCATCTCGGAGTACCGCAAGAGTCTGGACAAGGGTCAAGTGCCCTCCAAGGACATCCTGAAGACGGTCTTCGCTGTGGACTTTATCTACGAGGGCTTCCGCTACAAGTTCACTGCCACGCGTGCCAGTGTCGACGCCTACCACGTTTTCATCAACGGGTCCAAGTGCGCCGTTGGTGTCCGCGTTCTCAGTGACGGTGGCCTCCTGATCCTGCTCAGCGGACGCAGCCACAGCGTCTACTGGAAGGAGGAGGTTGGCGCTACGCGACTGTCCGTCGACGGCAAGACGTGCCTGCTCGAGCAGGAGAACGACCCCACGCAGCTCCGCACGCCCAGCCCTGGTAAGCTTGTGAAGTACCTCGTCGACAACGGTTCGCACGTCAAGGCCGGCCAAAGCTTCGCCGAGGTTGAGGTTATGAAGATGTACATGCCCCTCATCGCCTCCGAAGACGGTGTTGTTCAGCTCATCAAGCAGCCCGGAGCTACGCTTGAGGCTGGTGACATTCTCGGCATACTCGCCCTCGACGACCCCAGCAGGGTCAAGCAGGCTCAGCCGTTCCTCGGCCAGCTGCCCAGCTACGGTGACCCCGTCGCTGTTGGCAACAAGCCCGCTCAGCGGTTCTCGGTCCTCTACAACATTCTGAAGAACATCCTCCTCGGCTACGACAACTCGGTCATCATGGCAGCCACCCTGAAGGAGCTCGTTGAGGTCCTTCGCAACCCTGAGCTGCCCTACAGCGAGTGGAACGCCCAGTTTGCCGCTCTGCACTCTCGCATGCCTCAGAAGCTGGATGCTCAGTTTGGTCAGATTGTCGAGCGCGCCAAGTCGCGCCACGTCGAGTTCCCGGCCAAGGCGCTGGCCAAGGCTTTTCAGAAGTTCCTCGACGAGAACGTCGCTGCCGGCGACGTCGATCTTCTCAAGTCCACTCTGGCACCGCTCAGCGAGGTGCTCAGCGCCTACAGTGAGGGTCAGAAGGCGCATGAGCTGAATGTCGTCAGGAGCTTGCTTGAGCAGTACGCCGAGACTGAGCAGCTCTTCACTGGTCAGGGTTCTCAGGAGGACAGCACCATTCTCAAGCTCCGTGACCAGAACAAGGATGACATCTCCAAGGTTGTCCAGACTGTCCTGTCTCACAGCCGTGTCAGCGCCAAGAGCTCGCTCATTCTCGCCATCCTTGAGGAGTACCGCCCCAACAAGCCCAACGTCGGCAACATTGGCAAGCATCTCCGCGATGCCCTGCGTACCCTGACCGAGCTCCAGTCCTCGCGTGCCACCTCCAAGGTTTCCCTCAAGGCTCGCGAGATTATGATCCAGTGCTCTCTTCCTTCCCTGGAGGAGCGCACCTCGCAGATGGAGCACATTCTCAAGTCTTCTGTTGTCGAGTCTCGCTATGGCGAGGCTGCCTGGGAGCACCGTGAGCCCAATCTTGACGTCATCAAGGAGGTTGTTGACTCCAAGTACACCGTGTTTGACGTTCTCACCCTCTTCTTCTCGCACGAAGACCCCTTCGTGTCGATCGCCGCCCTCGAGGTCTACGTCCGCCGCGCCTACAGGGCCTACATTATCAAGAAGATCGAGTACCACGAGGATGAGACGGAGACGCCTCTCTTCGTGTCCTGGGACTTCACGATCAGGAAGATGGGTCAGAGCGAGTACGGCCTTCCTCTGCAGTCCGCTGCCCCGTCCACCCCTGCCACTCCCAGCGGTCAGTTCGACTTCAAGCGCATCTCTTCCATCAGCGACCTTTCGTACTTCAACTCCAAGATGGACGAGGAGCCCAACCGCAAGGGTGTCATTGTGCCCTGCAAGTACCTCGAGGACGCCGAGGACCTCATCGCTCGCGCTCTCGAGGCTCTCGGCGAGAAAAAGAAGGCCGCCCCCGCCCCCGCCCCCAGCCTGCTGCCTGACCTGACCGGCAAGCGCAAGATTGTGGGCGCCAGCAAGCCTCACGAGCAGGAGCTCTCTGCCGTCATCAACGTTGCTGTCCGTGATGCCGAGAGCAAGAATGACCAGGAGATCCTTGCCCGCATCAAGCCCATCATCGCTCAGCTCAAGGGTGACCTCCTTGCCCGCCGTGTGCGTCGCATCAGTTTCATCTGCGGCCGCAACGACGGCTCATACCCCGGTTACTACACCTTCCGGGGTCCCGGCTACGAGGAGGACGACAGTATTCGCCACAGCGAGCCTGCTCTGGCTTTCCAGCTGGAGCTGGGACGTCTTGCCAAGTTCAACATCAAGCCCGTCTTCACTGAGAACAAGAACATCCACGTTTACGAGGGTATTGGCAAGGCCGTCGAGACCGATAAGCGTTACTTCACTCGCGCTGTCATCCGTCCGGGCCGTCTCCGTGACGAGATCCCCACCACTGAGTACCTCATTTCCGAGGCTGACCGTGTTGTGAACGACATCTTTGACGCTCTCGAGATTATTGGCAACAACAACTCTGATCTGAACCACATCTTCATCAACTTCACACCCGTCTTCCAGCTTGAGCCTTCCGAGGTTGAGAGCAGCCTGCAGGGCTTCCTCGACCGCTTCGGTCCCCGCGCGTGGCGTCTCCGTGTCTCCCAGGTCGAGATTCGCATCATCTGTACCGATCCTCAGAGCGGCGTTCCCTACCCCCTTCGCGTCATCATCAACAACACCTCGGGATACGTTGTCGATGTCGACATCTACTCGGAGCGCAAGTCTGACAAGGGCGAGTGGGTATTCCACAGCATTGGCGGCACCCACGAGAAGGGCCCCATGCATCTGCTCGCCGTCACGACGCCATACGCGACCAAGAACTGGCTGCAGCCCAAGCGTTACAAGGCCCACCTCATGGGAACTCAGTACGTCTACGATTTCCCCGAGCTCTTCCGCCAGGCCATCCAGAACAGCTGGGTTACGAGCGTCAAGAAGAACGGTGCTCTTGCTTCGCAGCAGCCCAAGGCCGGTGATTGCGTCTCGTTCACCGAGCTCGTTCTCGACGACAAGAACAACCTGGACGAGGTCAGCCGTGAGCCCGGCACCAATGCGTGCGGCATGGTCGGCTGGATCTTCAACGCCAAGACCCCCGAGTACCCCAAGGGTCGCAAGTTCATCGTTGTCGCCAACGACATCACGTACCGCATCGGCTCCTTCGGCCCCAAGGAAGACAACTTCTTCAACAAGTGCACGGAGCTCGCGCGCAAGCTTGGCATTCCCCGCATCTACTTGTCCGCCAACTCGGGTGCCCGTCTCGGCGTTGCCGACGAGCTGATCCCCCACTTCAAGGTTGCGTGGAACGACCCTGCCAAGCAGGACGGTGGCTTCAAGTACCTGTACCTCGATGACGAAAGCAAGAAGGAGTTTGAGCAGGCTGTGATCACCGAGGAGGTCACGGAGGAGGGCGAGAAGCGCCACAAGATCGTCACCATCATTGGTACGGCCGACGGTCTCGGTGTCGAGTCGCTGCGTGGCTCTGGTCTCATTGCCGGCGCCACCAGCCGTGCTTACAACGACATTTTCACCGTGACCCTGGTGACGTGCCGTTCCGTCGGTATCGGTGCCTACCTCGTCCGTCTCGGTCAGCGTGCCGTCCAGATTGAGGGCCAGCCCATCATTCTGACCGGTGCCCCTGCCCTGAACAACGTCCTGGGTCGTGAGATCTACACATCCAACCTCCAGCTTGGTGGCACCCAGATCATGTACCGCAACGGTGTCTCGCACATGACTGCCAACGACGATTTCGCCGGTGTTTCCAAGATTGTCGAGTGGATGTCGTTCGTGCCCAAGGAGCGTGGCAGCCCCATCCCCATCAGCCCCAGCATTGACACCTGGGACCGTGACGTCGTCTACACGCCCCAGCAGAAGGGTGCGTTTGACGTTCGCTGGATGATTGGCGGCCGACAGAGAGACGACGGCGACTTCGAGGCCGGCCTGTTCGACAAGGACTCGTTCATCGAGACCCTCGGCGGCTGGGCCCGTACCGTTGTTGTCGGTCGCGCTCGTCTCGGTGGCATCCCCATGGGTGTCATTGCTGTTGAGTCCCGTTCGATCGAGAACATCACGCCGGCCGACCCTGCCAACCCCGACTCGATCGAGCAGGTCACCAACGAAGCTGGCGGTGTTTGGTACCCCAACTCGGCGTTCAAGACTGCTCAGGCGATCAACGACTTCAACAACGGTGAGCAGCTGCCGCTGATGATCCTCGCCAACTGGCGTGGTTTCTCTGGTGGTCAGCGCGACATGTACAACGAGGTCCTCAAGTATGGTTCGTTCATCGTCGACGCTCTCGTCAAGTATGAGCAGCCCATCTTCGTGTACATCCCGCCCTTTGGCGAGCTGCGTGGTGGTTCTTGGGTCGTTGTCGACCCGACCATCAACCCTACCGTCATGGAGATGTACGCCGACGTTGAGGCCCGCGGTGGTGTCCTCGAGCCCGAGGGTATCATTGGCATCAAGTACAAGAAGGACAAGCAGCTGCAGACTATGGAGCGTCTCGACCCCGAGTACGCCGCCCTCAAGAAGCAGAGCGAGGCCTCGGGCCTGTCCAAGGAGCAGGTCGACGCGATCAAGCAGAAGATGACCATTCGCGAGAGGCAGCTTCTGCCTGTGTACTCGCAGATTGCGGTGCAGTTTGCTGACCTGCACGACCGCGCGGGCCGCATGAAGGCCAAGGGTGTCATTCGTGACTCTCTCGAGTGGCCCAACGCGCGTCGCTTCTTCTACTGGCGCCTGCGCAGGAGATTGAACGAGGAGTACATGCTGAAGCGCATGGCCACCAACGTGCTGTCTAGCCCCTTCAGCGGCGAGCAGCGCGGCGGCGCCGAGGAGACGCGCCAGCGCAACCTGTCGCTCCTCGAGTCGTGGTCCGGCGTCATCAACTTTGGCACGGCCGATCGCGAGGCGTCCGAGTGGTACGAAGCCAACCGCAAGACCATTACGGATCGCATCGAGTCGCTCAAGACGGAGAGCTTCGCCAACGAGCTGACGGCCCTGTTGCGCGCCAACAAGTCGATCGGCATGAAGGGTGTCAGGGATGCTCTGCGCGTGATGCCCCCTGAGGAGAGGGACAGCATCCTGAAGTACCTGCGCGAGTAAGAAGGTGTTGGGTATGTGTGTACGAGTGAGAGATGGGGTTGGTGACTATTTATGATGCATCTTCTTATCGTTGCTAGACTAGGATCGGGCTGGGATGCAGCAGGTGTTTGTTTGTATGGCTATTTATGAATTCCATCTTTGTTCTGACACTATTGCTGCGCTTTGTGATATTGCGTGAAAGTTGCCAATTTGAGATCGCGAGTAGCCAACTGGAACAACTTCTATCAAGATCATTTGATGAGATCTGGTCCAATGATCAAAAACTTGGCCGACGACGGTACGTAGTTTGCCTATTGAGTGTCCGACAGTGTTGCCGCCTTTACAATCATGTCCGTCATATCAATTAGGGCACCCAAGTTACACGAAAGCCAACAACTAAACTTCAACATTTTCAAGGACCATCGTCGAGAATAGCATCCTCCAGCGTACGGAGTCAGTTGAGGCAAAAGTTGTTGATATAGCTCACACCGAAGCAAAAGGAAAGTTGATGAGGACGAGACTCGAACTCGCGCGGGTTGCCCCACCAGGAAATCTAGTTAAGGTAGACCTTAACCTGGCGCCATAACCAACTCGGCCACCTCACCGATTGATGAATGCTGCTTACTTTTACTTAGTTCATGTTCTCAGAAAAACTCCATCTCCAGACATTGTCTATCAGCAACCTTTTTTGATGGAAAGTCACATACCTATATCAACGTGAATTCTTTCCATTCTCCCAATACTTCGTTGTGACTCCGATAGTACCAATCATGTTGTCGCCTCGCGCACCGGCGTCACGTCCGCCCACCGCTGCGTGGCCATGGAGTACTCCCACATCGCCTCCCTCCGTTCCGACGGCCATGCCCATCTGCAACCCAGCAATATGCTCTGGAGCGGCTCTCCCGGCAGCAAGACCTGCACATTACACAACCTATGGCCCCTAGGCGGAGTCGGCAGCGCCAGCTCCTCCGGCGTCGGAGGGCTGCACAGGGGAAAGTCCTCCTCCGCGACCCCAACGCCGGACTCCTCCACCTGCTGCTGCTGCTGCTGCTGCTGCTGCTGCTGCTGCTGCTGCTGCTCTTCGAGCTCCATCACCTTCCTCGCGATGCACGCCGCCACCTGAGAGTCCCACAGTCCCTCGCGGTGCGCCGTCGACTCGAGGAGCCGAATGGCCTGCACCCTGACGCGCCGGACGCGGCACTTGATGGCCGTAAAGTACAGCGGCGGGATCCAGCCCATGTCGACGATGGCGCGGGACATGTCGCTCGCCGGCGCCGTGAAGGGGGACAGCGCCGGGTCGCGTCGGCGCAGGCTCGTGAGGTGGTGCAGCAGCTGGGCAAAGTCGGCTGTGTGGCGGTCAAAGGCCGACTCGTCGCCGCGCGAGAGGCACGTGTTCGCCATGATGGTTGCCATGGCGTGGATGGCGAAGGGGAGGCGGCGGTCCCGCTGTTCTTCGGCGAAGGCGGCCTCTTGCAGGCCTTTGTGGAAAGCGCTGAACTGCGGGAGCCATTGGTAGAGGCCGGCTTGGATGCGGGCTCGGGCGTCGGCCATGCGGGCTGGGGGGAAAGGAGTGCTGCTGCTGTCCCGGGATGGGATGTACAAACGTGCTTCCTGGGTCAGGGCCATGGCCTCGCTCAGGAGGGGGCTCAGATGCTGCCAGGCTTCGTGGACCGATTGGAAGGCGGACCTGGGCAGGTCTAGTGTAGTGGACAGGAGGTTTCGATACGGATACGTATGGGTGTAGCGCAGTATTCCGCTTTGGAGCTGGATCCTCAGAATAGCCTCGACGATCCAGTCGTCGATGGAGTCCATACAAGCCCTGACACAGATGCCGCCTGCAATAGCGGGGAAGAGCGATCTCGACTCTTCCAGGATCTTGACGCCATTGTCGAGATGAAGTCTCGTTGCCTCGAAATGGCCCCGGAACAGCTCAAAGCTGGCAAACAGGAAACAGGCGATAAGCGCCACTCGCGTGGATGCCTTTCCCTTGCGGGCGAAATGAGGGTTCAGATGCCGCATCGCCTCGACGTAGTGCTGGAGCGTGAACTTTTCCTCAGCGGTCCAACCAGCCTTCGTTTTCTCGATCTGGTGACTCTGCGCTGTGCCCCCGCCGTTCATGTGATATGATCCCAGCGCGAGTACAGCATTCAAGATGGCTGGCTCCTGGACGCTCGATTGGAAGATGAGTGTGTTCCAGAACCCCGCGGCGTAGCTCGTTGGCACCTTGATCGAGGTGCGATACTTGAACCATTCGAAACACTCCTGCTCCCTAGGATGCAGTACGAGGACGGGCGGTGCGGCACGCGGCCGGGACACAACATGAGTATAGAGCGCTCCCGTCGGTTCCACGACGTAGCGCTCATGGTAGGCTCTGCCACCACCGCCCCAGATACCGTAGCCGTCGCAGACGCGGCCGGTTGTCACACAGCGCTTACAGGCCGGGCGGGCCTCGTCGCACTTCACCTTTCGGGTCCTGGAAGCATATTGAACCTTCTGTCAGTTGAGCCTATCAGTTGAGACGGTAGAGGATGTCTTACTTGCAGGTGCGGCAACCAGATTTAACCTTCGCTTTACGCGTATTCTTGACCGCGGGCAACATGCCGATGGTCACCAGTCGATGAGCGTAGAATATCGGCAACGAATGTCTGAATGTGGAATTGCCTGTTCGCTCAGTGGTCTCGGCTTCCGCCGATCTTTCGCTGTTCTTCCCGATGCTTAACCCACAGACTTTGGCCTGTTTTTCTGGCTCTCTCAGTCAGTCGTCGTGAAGGGAGTTGTTGACTATGATTTGGTGATCGAGGAACGGCGTGCCGACCACCGCACACAATCCTTAGTTGGGCCAATCAAGAATGACCGGGGTCGTTTCAAGGAACGTAAAAACCTCTTGATCCTTCTGACGTATGCCAATCACACAGCTTAGGAGCACGGTTAGCTGATTTTTCCATCTTTGTGCGTCATGTTTAGGTGGCTGTGAGCTGCACAATAGCTGTCGGTCTTCAAAGTAGCCAATCAGCAGCGAGACAGTCAACGCAACCCGACTGAAGTGGGCGAATTGAGTCGAGTACATCACCAATTTCTTGCTTCAGAGACAAGAAAGCAGTTCTCATGCCTTGTAATCAGTCCAGGCCCCTCCAGAACTGCGGTTGCTGGACTGATGATATCGCCGGCCCGGATGTTGAATATCAAAACATACTTGAGAGATATTATACCTGATGATGCGGTATCACATCAAGCATCGAACTCGTTTTTCTGGCTAGACTATTCGACTTTCGTCCCGCGATTAAACCCCCTTAGCTTTTGAGTTCTTATTAGATGATGGTTGTATCATCCTATCTGCATTGTACACGCCAGCACGGACGCTATATCGAGTGTACCTATCCATCGCGTCTAGCTCAGCACCAACAGGTTTTAGGGGCCAACTACGGGTTTGGGTTTGATGGGGACACCCTTTGTTTGCCGTCAATATGTAGTCATGCAGGACTTCGGTCGAGCATAGTTTCGCTTGAGATGAGGGTGATCTCTTCGGGACACGAGTAACAGACCATCTTGCGGTTGAGAACGGCTGCCGCGGCAATGGGCAATGGATCACCAGCCTGAAATGATAGTTCTCCTCTTCTGTTGTCTACTCCCGCTCACGATTGAGCGCTCTTGCTTTCTCCTTGTACCTACACAGTCCACCCGACTCAGTGCTGCCCGGTAATGTTTCGTCGTCTTTGACCTGTGTTGCTCAGCAATCTCGGTTGCTGCGGTTGGTCTCAAGATATCTGATATAGTGCAGATATCCACAAATGCGATGCCCACATGAATAATTAAAACATGCCTGCTTGCACATCATGAAGTGCGACAAGAAGATGTGAACAGTATGTTAGAGGCCCCTGGTATTTTCAAGGCATGAAGTTCCTAATTAGAAGTAAAATCTTCTGATTCTCGTAGTTTAAAAGAAAACTCGCACTCAATGATGCTCTTAGAAGGTGCACTTAGTTGGAGGAGTATCGAAAAAGTTACCTTCAACTTGAGAAGAGCCAGCGACTCTGCGAAGCAACGTCCACAATGTGGCAGGCTCTCGTCAAACGTTCCATTTGCCTGCACCGCTACATTCATTGTTTTTGATTTACAGAGTGAATGTAGTCTTCCATCATCCTCACAGGTGTGGTAGTCCTTCGCAGGATTCGAAGCAGTATTCGGCCATTACCATTATATCAATCCTTTGGTGTTTAAGACCATACAACCTGACCGAGGCCGTGGGTGAAGTGCGTGACAAAATGTCGGGCTGCTGATGAGCATTTGAGTAAAGAATCTTATATTCAGTTGAGACAGGACTATGACGGGACACTTGGCACATCACAAATGCTTGTCATCCAGAATTCAAGCAATGGCTATACTTTTGCAGTCACCATCTGATGCAGGTTTGGCGTTATCGGTTTGTTATTGCTGCCACATCAAGATCGGGTCAGGAATGGCACAGGTAGGATTGTTGTGGATGTTTGGACTGTCATATTGCGTACCCCCTGGGGTGTCTATCGAAGACAAGTAAATACAGCTGGAGCGCTGAATGGGTAACGAAGTCTGTCAGTCTTGAGGTTCAGTCATGTATGGCACCTGCGCCGCGCTTTCCTGATTGTGTTTTATGGGACAATAGAGGAAGCAATACTTTCATCCTGGATGAACAACTATGTAAAGTCGGCACAGCCTTGATGAGGTTGACAGCTGCCGAAGAAAAGATCAAGTCTATTGTGAAGAAGAACATGAGCTGCTTGTGACGCAGCCTTGGCTTTCCTGGTCTACTGACTGAGCATCGAAGTTGAATAATGTAACACGGTTCCAGCGCCGACGAGACCATCTGCTCCAGAATTGAACAGCTCTTCCACGATGGTCTCGACGGCTGGCAGCGACATAACGGCCCTCGTCCTTCCTCGCCGCACCTGGCAGTAGACACGAAAGGATTCTGCATCTCTCGATGACCACGGACTGATCCGTGGTTTCCTCAGCGTTGCAAAATCTCCTTGTCAGCATCTCAAGGCAACCCGTTGCACGTGATATTGCAACCTGCCGGCGTATAGACCCTCCAGGCGGTCCCTTTCCAGCCCGAGAGAACGTCACAACACGCTGAAGAAGCAGAAGGCTATGCTATCTGCTGATACAATGATGTAATCGAGAAGGTGTCCATTTCCCCCGCTTCGATCGCGATAACAAGATCTCATCCCCAGAATCGTCCAAGCTCGAACGCCCGCTCAGCCTCTCTACGGATCCCTCCATACCAGACTCGGTAAGCCTGGGGGGATCGTCTTGAGACACGCAATGCTACAGAGTCGACACCCTTATCGCCCAGGCCTCTTCGACATGGGCCATACAGGGCATGGTGATCACGAAACGTAACATCACATCTACCAAGGCTCGATAGCACTCGTCCTGGGCAGGAACGAGAAGGACCCCGGATGATCTCTTTCGTCATGCCCGTTCCCAGGGAGGCCACCATCACATCAAGCCATGAACTCGCAGGTGGTAAATCAGCGAGCATAACACCTACATCGCTTTGCTGTGCCCGTGGCGTGTGCCTAAGGGCCACCACCCCCTCTCACCGACAGGCAAGGCCCCCATGGAGGACCCCTACTTTCTGCGGTGGTTGCACGGTCAAAGGAGGCGCTCTGATGAACGACGGGATCGACAATATCACCCCGAAGGCCTAGCCACCGTGGCCAAGCAGTCAGGATCAGCAGCATGTTGAAGAGATGGAGGGGGGAAGAGTCCTGCGTGTCTGTCTGCACGTCGCTGGTTGTGTTATTCATTCGGCAAACCTCACTTCTGCATCTGCACGAAGCCTGCCCGACCCTCCATCAGCGTCGCCGGCATAAACGACAGCGACTGACAGCCTCACCGGTGTGTCGGCGGCATAGTGAGCAGCGAGCGGCGGCGCGACGAGACGGTGCAAGACGAACAAGTCAAACGCCATAGCCGTCAGCCAGCATGCGATCTCGGCCGATACTACTACAGATTGAGGTTCAGCGCTCCCCTTCCAATCCTTTCCCCAAGTCTGCGCCCCAAGGCACTAGCCCCCCACCCCCATGGAGGGTGGAGGGAGAAGAAGTTGGAGGATTGGGAAAATCTCTTCAAAAACCTCGCCGTCCAGACCATCGTGCACCACTCACCAGTGCCCGTTATACCCTCCGATGCATGTATCCCACCTCTATTCTCCACTGAGGCGCCTCGAGATGTGAGGCATTTGGCCCGGCAAGCGGCAAGACATCAACCAAGGAGGGAATGCGCACACGAAGAAAAAACCCGGAGGCAGCGCGCGTTCCTCTCGCCACATCTAGACCACACCGATCCTGCTTGCCCACACCACCCTGGGAATGTGGTTGGTCCAGGGGGGGGGACATAGAGTAAGCCGCAAAGTCCCAACAGAAAAATAATCCTCCGACATGAAGGACAGAGATCGCCCAGAAAGTTTCAAGGTCGCATTGGTCGCCGGGCGGCCACCCAATTCGACGAACGAGCAGATGGACTGGCCACCACACCTGAAGCACGCCGTCAGAACGGGTTGGACGGGTGGTGGGCAAAGCCAGAGCGGTTGGACAGATCCTGTTGATAGGTACATGGTAACCCAATTAATGTGCCTTTCTTTGCTCTTCGTGTTTCCCCTCCCCCCCTCCCTCCTTCACCTAGGAAATCGAGAACTACTGGGCAGACTACTGCCGCCCGTCGCCGGTCGCTGCACTCGACCCCTCCACACCATTCACGTTTTAAGACCAAGGCCCCCTCTCCCCCTGCTCGTCGCCGCTTTGGATGAGCAGCTTGTGCTGTACATGTATCAACGGTATGTGCTGATGAACTTGCTTGTTGTTGTTGTTGTAGCATCATATTGTTCGTCTTGGAGCTATCGTGCCCCTCCATCTCCACTTCACTGCAGCGCATCCGCGCGTGCGTGCGTGCGCACAGCGTTCAAGAGATGTCTCCACGGCCCCAGGTAGCAGCGTGGCTGGAGCCCACTACTGTTCCCCCCTTCTCCAGCTAGCGATTCTTACATTAGCATCGAGACACCAAGCAAAATATTAAAAAAATACCTCGAGGCAAGCTTCGTGATTGGTCGTTGCACCGTGTTTTATCTCGCGCAACGACCGACGAGGCGAGACGAGGCGAGGCGAGGCCACCAGCTCTCCCCGGCGGAGAAACACTGGAGTTCTGGAGATCAGCGGGCTCCATCAGCGCGCAGTCTGGGGATGGCTGTTCAAAAACGTAAAATCAAGCGAAGATGGGCCCGTTCGGTGGAGTCTGTCTGGCAGTAGGGGAGCATCGCAGCGCTGCGACCTCGGACGGAGAGCTGCAAGGTTCGAGATGAGTCGAGTTTCGAAGCCCTCCAAGGCAAGGGAGGGCCTTGAGAGAGCAAGAGGGGGTCGGCAATGTTGTCTCTCTTGCTTTGTGATCCAGAGAGCTCTGGAGTGCAGCTGTAGCTGCTGCTGCCGCTGCCGCTGCCGCTGCCGAGCTTCAGGGAGCTTTCCGCCGCAATACCGCTCGTGCAGCACCGACCGGTCGAGAACCTCAGGAGGGGGTGGTTGATGGATGCCGCTCCCTTCCGTGTGCGGCACGGCGCAGCACCTGGCGGCCCAGGGGGGGGGGGGGCGGTGACCTTGCTGTCAGCATGGCATGGCGGCAGGGCAAAGCAAGGCACGATGGCGGCAACAGGACAGGGTGCTCAGGGGCCGGCAGCTCACGATGCCGTCAGGGCCAGAGGTCGTCGTTGAACCCCCATGCGGTGCAAGAGCCTCAAGGCAAGGCGAAAAAAAAAATGGCCGAAAGGTTTTGCCGGAGGGTCCGCACCGGGTCCGGAGCCCGACGAAGCCATCGTGAATTTACCATTCTTTTTTCGACGTCAGCCGCCGAAATGGGAGACACCGTGAGACGCTGCGAGCATCCCGTTCGCATATCCATGGCCGCACTTGTCATTCAATAGCCCGGCTTCGATGTATGAGTGTTCGACACTAGACTCGAAGCCGTTCGAGCTACACAAGGTGGCTGGATTTTGGCGTCTTTTTTCGTGCTCTGACCGACTCGCGGACGTTGCGTCGCACTCTGTGCCTCTGAAGCATGCCCCCCTCCACCCTCTACGTGAGACGTCGACCCTTCGAACCCCTCTCGAGACTGAATACGGCAATATGAAGCAGATGCTGCTCAATGACGCTCGCCAGACGGTGCCAAACTCAATCTGTCGATCTGTGCATCCAGGCGAGCGAAAGGCAGTCAGTCAGCGAAGGCCTTGCGGGTTTCCTGCGACGATTGAGCAACAGGAAGTAAGATCTAGAATCACGCCCCGTGAATCCCCCGAGACCAACCCGCGTGCGTTCGTTCCAGAGCGCACTCCCCTCCAACTCCAGGGGGCTAATCCCTCCGACCCCGACACGATACAGGATTGTCGATCCCCCGAACGCCTTAGTTTAGTTGCCAACCCTTCTCGAGATCCATCTGGACCCTGGAAATCACGTCCAAAAAGCCCTCCACCTACGTACCCACTGTCGAGTGTGTTCGTTCGCCACTTGGGCGCCAATCGTGTAACATAGTACATGGCCAAACGTGCCGATTACGAATCCCATCTGAAGGTTCAAGGCATTTGCACATGAAGAGGAAGAGCGTCAGGAAAGATCGGCAACCAAGAGTGCGAGGTACGGTTGCCGCCCAGCGTTGCCACATTTCAACGACGGTTGTGACGACCAGGGACTGTCTGTCCACAGAACACGCATGGCCAGCCCACAGCCAAGCCTATTCTTTCCATCATCAAAATGCTGGTGTTTCCTTATCAGAAGGAATATGAGCTTGTACATGTATTCCGGCAGCACCGTGTGCAGAGGATCGAAGGGCCGCTGTGAACATGGAATCGGTCTCCCATATACCTGCCTCACGCTAGAGACTACCTCGCGAACGCCATACAACGTAGGTCTGGGGTGCATCGCGACCATCAGGTCTTCTTCCGTCTTCAATAAGACGCGAAAACTCGGGACTAGCTCCTGTTGTGCAATCACTCTTGGGCAGACACTCGTCTCCGAACTGGCATGAACTGCCGATGCTCACGCAAGAGAAGCCCACCTGCATCGAGTGGTGCACAACAGGTCGACAGCAGCAGTACAGCCACCCAGGCGGGCATTCGGAGAGCAAAGAGACACATCCGCCCGTTGGATAGAGAAGACCGAAATGGTGCTACAGCTCGTGCAGGTGGCGTGTCGCGCTCGACTCGACCTACCCTCACCAGACCTCGCCTCGAGGCAGGCCGCAGAGTGCATCGAAATGACGGGCATCAGCAAACAAATCAGCCCGCAGCCTCGTCATGCCCAGCAAATGATGTCTTCTGTCCTGGCGATGGCCTCACCTGACAGACCTTCCCTGCCAGCCCCCTCCTGGCCTCGAAGTGCTCCCCGCCAGAAGCATTCATCGACAGACGCCACAATGTCAAGCCGAGAGGGCCAAGCTCTGGTCTGCTGACTGTCCATGTCCACCATATCGAATGAAGCACCCCGGCGTCGCAATCCTCCATCTTTCACTCCCCCATCGACCTACATGTATTCCCCTCTGTTCCCCTTCACATGCAGATAATCCCCCTTCCTCTCCGCCCGCAGCAAGCCCTCCTGCATCTCCTGCATTGTCCTATCCTTATCATGCCATCCACACACACCTCCCGAATTGAGCTCCCTCACAGCCAATCCCTGCCCTGCCCATCCGTCCGCATCCCCGTCCACCTACACCGACACCCGTAGCATCGCGTCGCGCATGCGTCAAGCAGCTTGGGGAAGCTCCAGAAACCCGCCAGGCAGGCCAGGCATCTCTTCCTCTTTTCCCCCTCCCCTTCCAAGGCACCTTCTGCAGCTCAGCTTCGCGCTGCGGCTGCAACGGCATGATAGTACCATCCCATATCTCGCTCACATTTCAGAAGGCCCAGCCAGCAAGAGCCCCGAGCGCCGGTCAAGGGGCGGCGCAGCAAGGGCCAGCAAGAAACGTCTCGCCGACCAAGGTAGCTCGTATGACGCCCGAATGATGACCGTGTGCATGAATGGGCGCGCCATGTTGAATAGGGAAGCGAGACACTCTCGCAGGCATCGCAAAAGCTCCGAACCCCGAGCACACCAATGATGCCAAGCCAGCCTTCACAGGTAGCAGGCCGAGCTTGTCTGGGGCAGGCAATGCGAACCAGGAAATAGGGCCCAAAGCTCATCCGCCGGCAGAGAATAGGCCAGCAGCCAAGGCCCAGCCAGCGATACATCAGCCGCAACCCCGCTCCATGCCCTCATCCGCCTTGAGCTTGCTGCTTGCCAAGAGCAGATGTCGAACCAGGTTTGAGTGAGAGATGGTCCAGCTCGGGTCAAAACATTGGCAGAAGCTCATGAACACTCGGGAACGATGGCATGATAATCGATCAGACGGCGATGGACAAACCGGGAAGGTCGTCCACGCAGCAGAAGCAATCAGCGCTTCTCTTGGCGCGCAACCTCAACGGATGATCTGATTGCGGGGTCCCGGACATGACCCGGAGGTCATAGTCGTCGCGTTGACCAAGTCGTACATTCTCAGCATTGGGGCTGTCAATAGCATTCGCTGCATCATACGACTAAAGGAGCTCCTCGTAATCAGATTGATCACAGAGTCATTCCAACGGAGGCTTTGCCGTTCTATTCTCCATGAGTTCGAATATGTATGATCTGATACCTAGACGACCCACCCAGAGCAGTGGTCAGTTCACGGAGGGCCCGGCTCTCCCCGGATCTCAAGCTCGGGATCGTCGGACCCTGAAAAAGCAGGGACTTCCCCGGCCGTCTCCTTGCACGTCGCCACTGCGCAACGTCGGGGCTTCTCCCTCAAAGAGAAGGGAGCATACATGACCCATGCTTCCAGGATGGAGACAAAGATAACACCATGACAGACGCGGCTTGATAATCCAGAGTTGAAACTGTCCGTCACGGCCCCAACTTGCAAGGTCCATCCCCTCATCACTTCGGGTGCCAAACCTTCTTCGTCTAGCGCCTTGACCTAAGGAGAAGCCACAATCCCCTCCCTTTGACCAACCCTCAGATCATATCATGTTGCCCAACCTCCCTAGCCATTGATGTCTGCTTCTCCGTGTTGTATCGTGTCGGAAGTAGAGCACAGTGCCCATTTGGACGGGCCACTTGTCGACAGCGAAGCAGCCACCCAAAAGCCATGCCTCGACCCGTGCTTCCACCAGAGGGAAGCACACCAGAGGGAAGCACAGGCTCGGTCAAGTGACGCTCCCAGCCTAGATTGCGGGGAACCCAGAGCTGTTTCTTGTTGGCCCCTGACACGACTCTGGCCAACTGTTCGTTGGCTCGCCACAAGGTAAAGGGTGCTTGCTCGCATGGTCTTTTGACACCCTCCACGTAGTCGAGGCCAATATTGACTTGAAACCCGTTTTTCGGGGTCCGCAGCGTGGCAAAAGGGTGACTGCGGTTAAAATTTGTCGTTCGGCCTTGCAATGCCAGTCAGTGCAGGTAGCACTCGCTACATCCGCTGTCTGACCCGGAACTTTCATGGCCACCTGCATTGCATGTCGATGTGAGCCTCCCTACCTACCTCAGCCATGTCGCTGCAGAGTAAGACTGGCGTCGCACAGCTCACAGCCGACAACACCATCCTGGAATGCGAACCTCCGGTGATCTATGTTTGCAGTCGCGGGGCTTGATCGCCGACGTCAGTCTTGTATTTCCTCGTTGTCCACTGGCGGTCTTCGCGGCTAGATTGAGTTATTGAGCCTGGGTAAGAATAGATACATGGTCGAGGTATCTAGCGAAATGCGGGGAAACTGAACTGTTTCTGCTGTTGATTCTTTTTGAAGACGTCAAACACACCAGCGCACAAGCAGTCAGCCGCCGCCTGTGCCAGCAACCTCGGCAAGACTCCGGGGTATGCCATGTCGTGAAACATGGCGTAGTCTCGGGGGGTGCGGGGAGAATGTGGCGCGGAGTCGAAACCTGGGGAACAGAGACTGGGCAGTCTCCTCGCCCGCGAGGAAATGGTCATGGTCCAGCCGGTTCAAGGGGAGGTGGTGCTCGGGCTTGACGAGATACAGGAACTGGTACCCGCGGGCTGAGTTGACCGTTCGAGGACCCCTCCGCTACAACTCATGCACATGGACGACTGCAACACTGGGCTTTCTTGTGTACAGAGTTACCATCAAGCCCAGTGGCCAAAGGCAGGTGGGTTGAAGTAGAGCTTAGCTGGAACACCGATTAGCTTTTGGATTGTCCATGCCGAGAAGGATATGATCGCTTTCGTCGCCCTGAAGCCTTTGCCACTAGCTAGCTCTCATCTCTGAGCCATTCAACAAATGGCAGCGCAACTAACGGCAGTGATCAAACATCGACTTGGATGGTAGGTCGGAGCTGGAGAGCGCCATTCGTGGTTCAGGCCGGCCACTCCCCCTATGCCAAAGCCGGACGGAGGCTGCGCCGCCCCGTGAAACCCGCGGCGGCCTGTGCCATGATGCCGCCGCCGGTCGTATTGATAGAGTCCAGGCAACCAGGCCGGGATCGGCAAAGAGCCGCACGCCTTGGCCACGAGTCGTCAGCTCTGTCGATCGCTCATGATGGCAAAATCTGGGTCACAATGGACGCAAAGATTGGCGGTCGGTGGTATGTCGATCTTTCGCTTCGCTGCGGGGCTGCTGTACCATGTAACATTCAGCACAGAGGCACTTGAGCGCTTGCCTAACGGCGGGGCAATAGGGGAAGAGCTAAGTCAAACTCTATCTCTGGAAGCTACAAGAGCCGACAGGGTCAAGATGAGGCTTTTCAGCTGCATGCCGCACTGCAGAGTGAGGAAACGCTCATCTCACCGCCATTTGGACGATTGAATTTCTGGGGATGTCTTACTTGCGTCAAAGACTGGAAGACCTTGGAGTGAAATCAGCGCAGAGATCTTCGGCCGCTACACGCATTAGCATGGGGATAATGAGAAGTGGCTTGCGTGAGACAGCAGCTCTAGTAGTGTGCCTGCGCGGTCGTGCTCGCTACACCAGCTTGTAGCGCAAGTGGTATTTGTCGCTGATATGAACTCATGGGGGGTATGGCTGGTCAGGTTCCGGACAGGCGGTCGGTATATTGACTTGAAAATGCCCCGAGTCGCAAATGGCACAAGCGTTTGGCGGTTCCTATTGAGTCTCGATTCCATTGTTGTTGGTCTGACCGCGGACACCCAAGAGGCCGTATTGAGGAGTGAAACACCGCAAGGGTGCAGTAGGCCAAAGAGCATTGAGACTTGACTCATCTTGAAAACATCAATCATCATGATCGCCAAGGCCATTGAAGAAATGCCCACGGTTCCCAGATGCCCGGCTCCCCGTGACCACAACGCTACGTGATGCATCGCCAATCGGTCTGCCACCCCCGTGTCAAGGTAGTGTGAGAGAAGTGAAGCGACATGCGCCAAATCCAAGCCAGTGGTAGCACTCGCAGCCACCCAACCAGACGGCACAGTTTCGCCGCCTCATTGCTGACCTTGAATAGCCATCCCACATCAGATGAGAGGAATTTGCTATCACAAAAGCCGAGAGAGTTACTGGTAACATGCGTAATCGACGCGCTGGCAACAAGGCGAATGGTCCATGAGCATAACCTCCAAGGCAGTATCGTGGAACCCCGGCCCCGGGCCGATCGGCGCTCCGATACCCCATCCGGTCCAGGAACGAGGAAGGCGTACATGCTCCATCCGTCCCAGGTCGTCGGGCTCGAACAAATCAGGAATTAGGTGGGCGACCGTGGGGTTGTCGAACAGCAGGAAGACTTGATGACATCGTGGGTGCTGTCAACCGCGCCGCGCGGCAGGCCACGACACGCCCAAAGAGGCCATGTCATCTCGTAGGGCCGCGGGAAGCGGAGAATGTGCAGGGCCAAAATCAAGGCACAGAGGCAGAGGCGATGTTTCGGACAGCCCAGCAAGGATGCGACTCGACAGAGATGAGCTTGTCAATGAATAATAGGTCGTGGGGTTTGATTGTTCCTCTTTCGGACACCCAGGAGCTTCAGATGGGGCTTGGCGAAGCAGCCGCTCTTGCCCTTGGAGCAGTGAGAACTGGGAAGGAGCTGTAGGAGGAGATTGGATGCAGGAGCTAAATACGGAAAGAAGATGCTGCTTTCATTGGCTCCGAGGCCCATCCCGCTTGTGCTTTCCCGCCAATCATCTTGACCAGAGGTGCCTGCCAGCAGAACAGAGATTTATTACAGGCAGGAGGCACGGACCACATGACCTTCTTCGCAAGCTTTGGCGAGCCGGCGGGGGTTTATGGGCAGGTACCAGTGGCTGCCCTGAGGCCCAATGCCCAGTGCAGAACGTTGGAAAGAACGATGAGCCACATTAATCCCCGATGCCCAGCAGAGCGGCTGCACGCAGGTTGACGTCATGAAGCCTCTGTGCGTCACAGGCTCTTTGCGCGTCGCAACTGCCGTTCAAAAGCTTTGTAAAAATTCTCTGCATTTGAGGGTTTTGGCGATGATGCCTCAGAGCAATACAGAGTTGAAATATGGGTCGTAAGAAAGATCGCATTTGCTCAGAGTTCAAATTGCACCATGACTACCTGGGCAATTGACATTCTTCCTATCAGCAGCACCAAATGCGACGCCCATATCAGATGGCTGCCACACATCGCGGCGCGACAGGGCGCCTGGTCGCCCACGCGAAACCCACATTTGGCAGGGCCCGCGCTGATCACTTCCAGCCCGTGCCCCCCTTGCAACCTGGGCGAGTAAAGACGACAAGAAACGCAACGTCGAACCCACACCGGAGCATCCATCCCGGGCCGCCTGGCAACCTTCAGTCCACCCCTGGCGCGACAATGGGAAAACGACATTCGATCGAGATGTTGTCGCAAGTCATTTCAAGGTCCCGCACCCCTCAATCCTGTGTCGTGATATACTTTGTCGCAACAAGACCTCCGGTCACTTTCCCCGGACGACACCCCACACACATGACGATCTTGAAGAACATACGGTGAACAAGCCCTTTCCGAGGCCGGGTGGTGCGGACACACAGGAACACAGGATGCACCCAAAGCACGCTTGCTTGCAAGCCAGGCCCGGACAGGTCAGGGCGACCAGGGCAAAACGGCGGGAGACCCTACGCGCGGTGGCATGGTGGCCGGTGATCAGGGGGAAATGGCAGACGAAGAAGCAGGCTGGTAAGCAGGGACCGCTGTTCATGGCATTTTGAAACCCAGATGTGCTGTGGTTCTTCTCTTAATCTGCGGGGGTGGTAGGACGTGGATAATTTCCACGATGACAAGATGGCCAGAGTGATGACGCTGAGCTGCGCCATGTTTGTCTCATCGTGGCCATG